ATGATAATTTTGATACATTTCAATTACAAACCAAAAATGTTTTCTATATTCTTTGGACACCTCCTTTCTTCTTAATGACGAAAATGCAGGAATTGGAATGGAATGAATTAAATATCTGTGTCTAATGAAATATATATAATATTTAGACACTATTCTATTCACCTTTTTTCCATTTAGCACTTTGAATTTTTAATACTAGTATTCGCGGGTGTCAACTGCTTAATCTCCTGGCGAATATTTCCTTTGCTTTCTTGACCGAAGCGAAACATTTTTTTACGTCGTGCCGCTTGACAGCTTCAAAACTGAAATAACTTTTAGGTTGGGGTTGACTTATTTGCCATGGTAACTAAATAATTAAGTCGAGGTCAAGTTAAATCAAAAAATAAATTTTAATTATTTTAACACAATTTGGTGTGGAATTTTCTTACCGAATACCACACGAGGTCAAATTAAATCCGGAAATTTTTTCTTCCTCATGAATATTTTTAGAAAATTATCCCTTGTCTTCGACTCGGGATAATTTTCAAAATATTCATGAGCTCGAAAAAATTTCCGGAAATAATTTGACCTCTAGTGGTATTACTAGTGATAATACTTTGGCTGTGTCAGGTAGGTCAATTTTTGTTTGTTTATTAATGTTTTAATTACTCAGTATATTCCGTAACGAAGTCATAACACCTAAATGAAGTACCTACATAAGCTCCTAAAATATTGACCTGTCATCTGTCTTAAAATTTAATGTGTTTGATTTTATAATAAATGTTTTGAGCAACTTAAAACATGTTTTATTAATTATTAAACCAAAAGCCCTTTATGCACTAGTAAAAATAATTATTTATTCTTATATTTGATATTTTAATGCCAGACTTATCTATGTGTTTCTTCAAAGATTAACTAACACATTTTTTTTGATATTCTACTTTTTTACATACATTTATTTTGATTATTAATTATTTACTAAATATATCTACTATACTATATATATCTACTATACTATATATAGTAGGGTTTACCTATTTATTTCTTAAAATTTAAAAGTACCTACCTACAACTAAAATTTGTTTGTTTTTTAAATTTTGACAAAATCACATTTCGCATTGAAATATCTGATATCAGTATCGGTAATTATTTTTATCAGTGTATGACCTAATCATATATTATTCAAGAAATATTACTTGATTATTTACGTCAAATTACGTAAATAATTACGTAATATTACGTGATTTTACACGTGAAATCGCTGTGACATATTGTCGTCAATTTTACGACGATAAGACGTGTCTAAGTTGGTGACTTCGACGTCACCGTAGACGTAAATTAAACGTGATATTCACGTCACTGTGTTGCCTGGGTAGCGATGACAAAACGAAGACGAAACAGTTCTTTTCCGCTACTGACAGTAAAATAACCGACAGTACTGGCAGTTAATTAGGGAACATATTCTAAATTATCCACTAGATTATATAAAGGGTGATTTTTTAAAGAACGATAGAACTTAAGTTAAATTTAAACTTGAATAAAAACCAAAATAATTAACATTTAATAAAAAATCTGTTTTTATTTAAAAGATTGATATTTAAAAATGATTTGAGGCATATGGCTACCACGGCTGTTCGTAACGAAGCGCATTCTGTCAGTCCAATTTTGGATCACTCTTTCGCAACGGTGGCCGTATGTCTTGAATCACACGAACAATGTTAGCTTCTAATGCTTTTAGTGTTGGATTATTAGCATAAACCAATGACTTCACGTAGCCCTATAAAAAATAATCGAGAGGTGTCAAATCGCAAGACCTGGGTGGCCAGTTGTCAGGTCCATTTCTTGAAATTAACTTATCACCAAATCTGGTTTGCAATAACTCAATGGTTTCGTTTGCCGCATGAACCCACATCTCGTCTGGATCATTCATATTTTGAAAAAAAGTATTTGTTTATAATCGCACCAAACTGTACATTTTTCTGAATGCAATGGCGTCTGTAGGAACTCTTCTGGATTTGCATCAGTCCATATTCAGAAATTCTGTTTATTAACAAACCCATTGAGTCAAAAATGTGCCTCATCGCTGAACACATTTTTTTCGATAAAGCAATGGGTCAGCTTGCATTTGGGTGTAGCCCAAGATCTTTGCTCAAAATTTTTCACGAGGTGGACGGACAAAGCCCCAACTGCTGCGATCGACGGCGAATCGATCATTTGGAATTTTCTTGCACACTTTCGTTTACCGCAGCAATATTCTCTTCTGTACGCACATTTCTTTGACGTAATGCTGTTTTTAAATTCTTTAAGGAGAGTGTGGTTCTAAATCTATCCACAGTGCGACGGATGGCTTGCTCAGATGGACGATTATGTGCACCGTAAAATCCACGAAGTCGTCTATGTGTTTTGCGAATCGAGGCATGACTTTCAAAGTAAATTTTGATAATTTGATAACGTTGTTCAAGCGTGAGTCTATTCATGATACTATGATAGTTTTAGAAACTTTTCCCAACATTGAGTACTCCAGCTTAGTTTAACTAATTTTGGGCAGCTGATTTCAAAAATGTCATTTGTTTTTCTCTAGGACGTCTGGGATTTAAAATAATTTCGTAATAAAATGCTCTGCTCAATCACCTCAAAATGTGAGTTTTTTTAGTATTTTAATTATTTATTAAATTATGTTGGCTTAAATTTATGTTGAATGTACTGAAGTAATTGGTATACGGCAAATAGATCATATTTATTTTAACAAAATGTTATTTTAAATACAAAAATTAAATTTTTTATGTATTTTAAGTAAAAAAAAAACAACCATTATTTGACATTTTTTGTCGTTTATTTTAAATATTGAATTGAAAGGGCCATAAAGTAAACAGGTTTCGGTTTTTTAATCCAAATTAAGCTCACAAAATTTAATGCATTGCATAACTGCTTTTTTCTACCTTAAAACGTATCAAATTTCGAATTGAATTATAGTATTATTGTGCTTAATCCTCATCATCGTAGTACATGTTTTGCTGCAAATTTCAGCAAATGTCTCCTAGCAATAAATCCAACTTCTTTCCGCTATACCCATAGATATCTATCAATTCTCTAGATTTGCAGTTACTCGGTGAAATCCTTCTCCATGTTCATCAGTTCGGCAAATTTATCAAGATGAGAAAAAGAAAATGAATTTTAAATGACATATTAACGCTAATTCTTTGCAAAACGGAAAGCATTTTTTCAATGAATTGGCGCCAATTTTAGGCATTTTCAATAACAGCTTTAACACTGCCATATGCGACAAGCTCGTCAACTTTGAGAGCATTTTTGAATGCTTGATCTTTCATTAAACGTCGTATATCAGCAGGGCCGGCGTTAGCTTATTAGAGGCCAAGTGCAAAAGAAAAATGCGGGGCTTGAAAAACCAATTGAAGGGATTAGAGCTGAAACCGCCCAAGTGCATTTTTAAGTCAAAATTTTTTAAGCGTGCTACCGGATAGTAGAAAATTTTGACTTAAAAATGAACTTGAGTGGTTCAGCTTTTCCCTTCAAGTTCATTTTTAAGTCAAAATTTTTTAAGCGTGTTACCGGATAGTAGAAAATTTTGACTTAAAAATGAACTTGGGTGGTTCAGCTTTTCCCTTCAATTAATATAGAAATTAACGTTTAAGGAAAAATCACACATAATTTTTCCCTGCTTTAGCTCTTTTCCAACATCCTTCTCTATTGACAATATATAGCCAAACCCACTAGTCGTTCTTGGCACATACTTTCTTGATCTTAAATATTTTTTTATTAATTTTAATTTGGAAAAACTCTTTTCCTGGCGTAATAATAATTGTTTTAAAGGGATACAGGCAACTTCAAATACACATTTAGCAACATTGAACTGAATGATAATAGATGACGATACCTACTAAAGATATTATCTCTGGCAATCACCAGATATTATTTTGTCACGCTGTGCTTACAGCTTGCCATGTTGCTAAAATGTACAATAATTTCGTTAAGACGCCTTGATGCGCGCGGGGCCTATAAAACGCGGGACCGGGTGCAACCGCACCTTTTGCACATGCCTCACGCCGGCACTGTATATCAGGTCCATTTAATATTCCTGCAAAATTAGTAGGTATATCTCATAAAATTTTGTAATGAAATATTGCGTTGGTTTTTCTTGGGGGTAAAGGTACCGCAACAAAAACAAAACAAATTTACAACGACGACATAAATGTTCGTCTCCTTTCTCTTTCTCTGCCACGTCCATTACCACTTCCATTTCCTACTCTTTTTTAATTTTTAGTTCTTAAAATCACTTTCAAGTAAAAATACAATTTAAAGTTTAAATTTTAAATGTCAATAATTAATAGATGCACTTTAGTGTAGATAAAGGCGCCTTTATACTTCAATTCGATATTAAATTTTGATAAGACTTAAAAATAAGATTCGAGACTAAATTTTTGGGAACTTTAGGCATGATGTGAATAAAAACATAACAAATAATAGTCGAAGAGTAATGCTTTTACCGAAGCCCATTTACTTTGTTGCCTTTTCAATTTAATTAGTAATTAAAAAAACGACACAAAAATTTAAAATAATGAAACTTTTTACCAAAAAAAACATTATAATTTTAGTTTTGGTATTTAATAAAGCACTTCTCTGCAGAAAAGTGCTGTATTAAATATCCCTTATATAATACATAGTATACGACTACAAGGAACAAACAAAATTTCTATTTGACATTTATTTACCGATGACTTTGTATTACGCAATTATTTCGAATCCTAAACGTCCTGGAGCAAAACGAGTGGTATTTTTGAAATCAGCAGCCCAAAATTAGGTAATATAGTTGGGCGTACACAATGTCATCATAGTTTTATGAATAAAAAAAACTGTATAAGTTTATTACAATATACAAAATTTACTTGTCTTAAAAATGGTTTCTTCCAAATAAAAAACATATACACTTTTGCTTTTTATTGAAACTATGTATTATTTATAAAACTACAATTCAACATTTATAAATTAGAATAGTAATAGAACTAATGTTTCTTTTTAAGGTCAAACCTTACCCGGGTTTCTTCCTTTAGTTCCAACAGTACGGTATTCTCCAAAGTTCGAATCTTTTCCTTTCTTTTTTCTTTTTGATGACGCGCTGCTTCTGCAAGAACCGACGGCGGAATAGGGGATATAATAAACGAAGCAAGTCCTTTTATAAGGAACACTAAGTGCAGTACAATTAGGAAAAATAGGGCTGTGTAAGACTTGATGATTACAAAGAACCGATTGTCGGTTCGTCCAACCATTTTATAATAACAGTAATCCTCCTTGACGGTGTAGTTGTAATAGGAAATGACTTTTGATGTATTTATTTTTAAAAATGAATATTCATCTGCAATGTAGTTGGCATTTAATTTTTCGAAGGTATGGTGCACGAAATTGCCAGTAAAGCAAATAAAAATAGCGTTTGTGAAAATTCCGATGTATGTGGTACATTTGAGTAGAAAGGACCAATTGACCACCTTATTAATTTTGATTGATTGCGGCCGTCTTCTATACGCCACCGTTCTGTAAGCCTCTATACGTAAGTGTATAACGTTGGTGAGGAAAGCGCATAGAGGGGCAAGTGGGAAAACGGAAATAAAATAAGAAACAAATCCGTATTCAACAAGTTCGTCCAACATTGCATGGACTACTTGTAGTTTTTCTGGGGTCTCTAGCAAAAAATCTTTTTCCCATTGCGAGAGATCATCCATTCTGGTCAATCCTATGTATTTATTTTGATATTTGCGTTTTCTAAAATGTAGATAAATCTTAGGGTAAATCAGCTTCGCAACTAATTTCCATATACTTCTAATAAACCATATTGTAAACTGCAATATAACACTTTCCAAAACACAGTTCAAACTTATGCAGCCCTCTCTGAACGTTTCGTATAATAAAGAACTAAACTCTTCGGTTGGATCAGATGTGATTTCAAAAAATCCAGTTAAGAATAGGGACGTGTAAAAGTTTATAATATCTATAATGTAACATTTGTAGCAGTAAGATACCATAAACTCCCATTGCGTTCTCGGGTTTTCGATTTTCGTTAATTTGTAAGAAATCCTGTAGTAAATTTTTTGGTAGATTAACGTAAACAGGGCTATTATTATTGCACTTAAAAACTGCGAAGCTATCGATTCAACCCTGCTTGCACTTTCGTATGGAGACGTGGTAAACTCCTTATCGAGCCACATGGTGAACTGCATTCTAAATATTCTAATATATAGTTGAACCCAAACGGTAAATCCAATCAACCCAACAATCACAAAAGTCGAAAACAGTGTGTGGATAAAAAATGAATAGAACGGCACGTACGGTTCCAAGCGCCCGTTGCGTTCTTCCCGATAATAGGCAGTGTATTTGTACTCTGGCCTCATCGTCATATCCTTTTCCATAAACTTAACGTTCCATTTCAATTCGTTCATGATTTCAATGCGATTCCACAGGGAATAAACGAAAGTCGACCATATGGAAATCAAGATGGCGAAGACGTTCGTTCCCGTGTTGCTTAAGACGTGCGACCAGTTCTCGAACACGCACGTTTCCCTAAGGTAATAGTACTTGCACATGGAGCACGTGGGGCATATGAGTTTGTTCGATTTGCACACCGTATTGGCTTCGGGATGATCTGTGGAAGATATCGTCGCCACTCCGTATAAAATCACCACGATGCTCGTTATGGACGGTATGATGAGCATGGCGGTGTACACGCCCAACCAGTCGTACTGAAAGGCGTAGTCAGTACCCAGGTAACTCTCGATCAGGTTGCTGGGCTGCATCTGGTACCATCGTTTGGGCCTGGCCCAGAATTCGAACAGTAACTGCCTTCTGGTCAGCGGACCGCTTTCGGTCCAGTGATGGTCGCCGTCGTGCAAGGGATAGGCGCAGTCCAGAACGCCGGCTTTTTTCAAGTTTTCCAGGCCGAATTCGTATGGACCTCTTCCGTAAAGGTTTCGCTTCAAAATGAAGCTGATCGCGTGGATTCGCTCGGCCGGTGTCAAGGTTTCTGGTTTGTCGCCTAAAATGATAGTATATTTTAATATTTGTACGGAAAATAGGCCTGCAGGGTCTTAATAACATACAGTTATCAAGGTTTTATGATATTTTTTGTTTTTAGTCACTACCGTTTTCTGAATTTTGCATTAAAACAGTGTGCATATAGTATTTAAAAGGAAACGACGTACCAATACTAAATTTATAAAACGAAGTCTGTAATTAAATATTTTAATGCATTTTAACCAAATTACGTTGGCAGCAATTGAAATGTTGTCATGTTTAGATTAAAATTTTGCTTAATAAAATAACGCATAGAAAAAGAAATTGACCTTTTAGAATTTCGAAGCTGTCAGTTGTGTTTTTGAATATTTCGTTTAATTCGTGTATAATTTCGTTTATTTTGTTTGTTTTTTGTGTTATGTTATTTTATTTATTTTATTTATTTTATTTATTTTATTTATTTTATTTATTTTATTTATTTTATTTATTTTATTTATTTTATTTATTTTATTTATTTTATTTATTTTATTTATTTTATTTATTTTATTTATTTTATTTATTTTATTTATTTTATTTATTTTATTTATTTTATTTATTTTATTTATTTTATTTATTTTATTTATTTTATTTATTTTATTTATTTTATTTATTTTATTTATTTTATTTATTTTATTTATTTTATTTATTTTATTTATTTTATTTATTTTATTTATTTTATTTATTTTATTTATTTTATTTATTTTATTTATTTTATTTATTTTATTTATTTTATTTATTTTATTTATTTTATTTATTTTATTTATTTTATTTATTTTATTTATTTTATTTATTTTATTTATTTTATTTATTTTATTTATTTTATTTATTTTATTTATTTTATTTATTTTATTTATTTTATTTATTTTATTTATTTTATTTATTTTATTTATTTTATTTATTTTATTTATTTTATTTATTTTATTTATTTTATTTATTTTATTTATTTTATTTATTTTATTTATTTTATTTATTTTATTTATTTTATTTATTTTATTTATTTTATTTATTTTATTTATTTTATTTATTTTATTTATTTTATTTATTTTATTTATTTTATTTATTTTATTTATTTTATTTATTTTATTTATTTTATTTATTTTATTTATTTTATTTATTTTATTTATTTTATTTATTTTATTTATTTTATTTATTTTATTTATTTTATTTATTTTAATTATTTTATTTATTTTATTTATTTTATTTATTTTATTTATTTTATTTATTTTATTTATTTTATTTATTTTATTTATTTTATTTATTTTATTTATTTTATTTATTTTATTTATTTTATTTATTTTATTTATTTTATTTATTTTATTTATTTTATTTATTTTATTTATTTTATTTATTTTATTTATTTTATTTATTTTATTTATTTTATTTATTTTATTTATTTTATTTATTTTATTTATTTTAATTATTTTATTTATTTTATTTTAGTTTAAAAACTAATTTCCAGTCATTAAACGTGTAACAACATCGAATAACCATCAAAGATTAAAATATTTCCTTTAAATTTAGCGCGCACCCCTTCCAACTTTAATTTTTATTAAACTAATTTCCAGTCATTAAACGTGTAACAACATCGAATAACCATCAAAGATTACAATATTTCCTTTAAATTTAGCGCGCACCCCCTTCCAACTTTAATTTTAAACGCTTAAATCATTGCCCGACCGCAGAATAGGGAAATAGTAATCCCAGAAATTTGCGCTTCCTAAACGCCACACATTGCCGATACAACACCATGCTCCTCCCCTACGCAAGACGAGGTTAATACGCGAATTTTTGTAGACATTGAGGCCCACAAAGTTGGGCTTGTACATTATTATTTTTAACAGTAACTTGCATGTTGCTTAATGCTCGCTTAGTCAGAAATGATTGATAAATGATTCCATTGTTCTACGACATATTATTATATAATTAACACCCAACAACAAAAAACAAATAAAGATTTATTAGTAAAGTAATCTTTATTTATTGTTTGTTACTGGGTGTTAATTCTTTAATTATATGTCATGGAACAATGGATTATTATAATCCCTTGTCCGATTTCATGGGTGCCTATTTGAAACTTGACAACATTTTATTTTCTACCCCGACCGCCCCTCAACTCCGGGATCGCAACACGTGCTAATGGTTTGTTTTTGTTAACCAATTTGTGATTTTAATTTTCGAGGCGGGTTTTCTTTTTGCGTGTTGCCTGTTGCTGAAAGCAGAAAGGAGGTAAGGTAAGGCAAAAGCCCTTACATCAAGTAAGTTAGCCGATTTGTTTTTTTTAATTTATTAATACAGTATTTCCAAAGTTGCTTTTTCATTTCGTTTAATAAAATTGTTTAGTCTTTGTTGTTGTGCGGTTGTGCCTTTATTAATCTAAAAATAATTATATATAGATACGTAAAAATGAACAGTACCTTCTGGGTATTCTTTATTTGGAACACAATAATTATTGTCCTTAACCCACAAAAATTTAACGATTAACGATAATACAAAATAATACAAAATTAGTCTCCTGTTTTAAACATTTAAGAAAATCGTCTTACTTATGTATTTATAATATAATAAATAAAAGTCGTTTCTCAAATGTTTAATAGTATATGTATTTAGTTTGATAAACGCCATTTTAGTCACGAATTTAAATTAGGCACGAGCGAGCTTGCGGGCGAGTGATTAATCAAACGAGTGTCTAGAAAAGTTTATAAAAGAGTTGCAAAATATATTTCTTCTACCACAAATATTTATTATTATCTAAAAATGATTTAAATTAAATATTTGTAAAGATCGACATCTATACAAAAATAGAGTAACCGTAAGAATAGGAATCTGTATTATAGGCAGCAAATGTGAAATTTTTCAGAAGGTCCGTACATAATTTTTGAATATTGGCGTTAAGAAAATAATTAATACTTTTTGTATTAAGATACTACAATAATTTTTACATTTTGTATTTCACAGGAGGGGCACTTTATTTTAACGATTGTATGACATTTTACAGCTGTCAACTAACTTAAAGCTAACTTCAGCCCGTGACTAAAAACCTGTTGCTTACTTCAGCCCGCGACTAAAGCGCTATAAAGCAATAGTTTCTCAATGTGTATTTAAAAGATGACTTAGTGTCATTGAAACATGTACGATAATGGGCGTTTTAAAGGTGGGAGTAAAAAAAATAACATAGTTACTACTTTTTAAATCGTTCTGCTGATTTTTTTTTAAACTAGATACTTTTATTATATTTTACCTTATTATAATTAGCAAATGACAAATTAAGGTAAGAGGGAATTATTACACATTTATTGTAATAATAATTGTAAAATTAAACAATTATTGTGAAAAAAGGTTGCTTCTAAGCCAAAATCCTTTTTGTCGTAATAGGTTTTAGAATTTAACAAATTTAATTGTATTTATTTACAATATATGTATATTGTTAAAAAATAAACAAATTTTGTTTAATTTTTATAAAAGTAATTTAACAACAAGGAAATGCAAAATATTTTGTTTAACAACATAAAAATGTGGACATCCTTGTACAACAAAATTTATTTAAATTTTGTTAAATTTATCAACTCCTTTTTTACTATTTATGTTCTCAAGTATTTCTTACCATCAAATAGTTCAGGTGCTCTTAAATACAACGGTTTCAACTTATCAGGTTTCAATAAAAAGTTTTTAAAATACTTCCATTTAATTTGCGTAAACTTATAAATCTCGCTGTTCTTGGTCATTTCAATTTTGTATGCTTCGTAAATTTCAAGAATGTTATTCTCTTGTAAATGCAACAAAATAAATTCAACGTTACGATCCCAAACAAACTCTTTTCTTTCATATTGGAACCCAAATGACTGCAAATTTTGCATGTAAGTCTCCAACCAGTTTATCTTCAGATTGGAATTTAAAATGGAGCGATTAATTACCAGGACATAATCTATGGACCATTTTTCATCGGGGATATTTTTAACTTCATTTGGATTCATGTTTAACTTTGACAATACTTTATTGTTGAGTATGCTTTGTAGCAGAGTCCCTGTATATTATTTGACTTTTTTTATTGGTCACCACAATCCACACAACAAGGTCTGTTCTATTTCATGCTAAAAATACTAAAAATCACTGAAACACTGCACAGAGTTTAACGGCGGCCATTTTTGTTGTTTACAATTCTTGTGCTTTGGGTTTGTGCTATTTAATAATTGTTTTAAACGTTGGGTTTCTTACAGAGACACTTGTAAGCCTCAAATAAGGCATTTAAGTGCTAAGGACAACCATTTTACTCCTCTTTTATATATATACCTTATTCTATCAGGGCTGTCAAATGACAATTTTAAGGTTAATTTGTGGGTTATAATTTAACCTTAAAATTGACATTTGACAGTTTTATGACAGCCCTGATAGAATAAAGTTTATTTTTTACAATAGAGGAGTAAAATGGTTGTTCTTAGCACTTTAAGGCCTCTTTTAAGGCTTACTATGAGAAACACAACTTTTAAAACGTATAAACAGAGCACAAACCCAAAGGACAAAAATTGTAAACAATAAAAATGGCCGCCGTTAAACTGTGCAGTGTTGCAGTGATTTTTTATATTTTTAGTACGAGATAGAATAGACCTTGTTGTGTGGATTGTGGGTAACAATCTGTTTTTCTGTTTTTGCCCTTGGCGTGCCTGAAACTTATCTAGATAATTATCTAAGGTCGTGTAAAGAGGCTTTTATTAGAAAACAACCACACAATTAAGCAAATTTGATAAACTTGAATTAATACTCCAAAATGTTAAAAATCGTAAAAAAAATATCTATACTTATTTTATATACGTATTAGGGTCAGAATTTCTCAAACGGGCCACCTGAATTAGGTCAAAATTAGTTTTTGTTTGTAGATACATTTTTTTGATAGTATTTTACATCACTAACACAAATCCTAAAGGATTTTGTAAAAAAAAAATTTTCAATTGACATATTCATGATATTAAAAGTCAAAGTTTTTAATAATTAAAAAATAAAAAAATTCATTATGGCTGAACTAATTATCCGATTCCAACGATATAACTAGCGTTGGAATCTTGTTTTGACATAGATTCTTTGTTATTTTTTTCAATTGTCCTATTTTCATTTAGGTCGATTTTTTTTGTTTTTTTTATACCAAATTCGGAAATAATTGCCTTCTGCGCCAGCTATCGACTCGAGAAAAAAAACACATATACTCCAATCATTTCTCGAAATTATGCTGCTGAGAAAAAAAATGGCCCGCAGGTTGACAAAAAGTTATTCGTCCTTTTTTGGCCGCGCGCGGTGTCAGCTCACGCTCCGAACCGTGTACGCTGTACGCGCTTGCGACGTCTTACGGTGGTCTGGAACCTGCGGGCCATTTTTTTTCTCAGCAGCATAATTTCGAAAAATGATTGGAGTATATGTGTTTTTTTTTTCGAGTCGATAGCTGGCGCAGAAGCCAATTATTTCCGAATTTGTTATAAAAAAAAACAAAAAAAAATCGACCTAAATGAAAATTGTACAATTGAAAAAAATAACAAAGAATCTATGTCAAAACAAGATTCCAACGCTAGTTAAATCGTTGGAATCGGATAATTAGTTTAGCCATAATGATTTTTTTTTTATTTTTTAATTACTAAAAACTTTTACTTTTAATATCATGAATATGTCAATTGAAAATTTTTTTTTACAAAATTCTTTAGGATTTGTGTTAGTGATGTAAAATACTATCGAAAAAATGTATCTACAATCAAAAACTAATTTTGACCTAATTCAGGTGGCCCGTTTGAGAAATTCTGACCCATTATTATTTAGGCAAAACATTTTTGATGTGAAGCAAAAAAGAGTCTTTAGAGTTTAATTCACCGATGTGAATTTAGCAGACGATTTATGAACATTTCCGAACGAGTAACGTATACATGTATTTTTGCCACATCTCAATAATATATCCTCATTAATTACATGGTCATGAGATCATTTTAGTATTTTAAATTATTATTATTTATAATAAAAGTTTTTAACAATTTCTGGAGGGAGATATTTTAGAATATTATTAATTCTAATACACATTTTAACAAGGGGACAAGGGGTCAGCAGCTTATTTTTTAAATAAAAAAAATAGCTTACTTTGATTGAAAACATTGTTTTACTGTAATATTTTAGAATATTGTTTATTGTATTACAAAATATTTATTTCAAAGTTTTTAACCATTTCTAAAGGGACAAGGGGTAAGCAGCTTATTTTTTATATACAAAAATAGATTTTTTTGCTTAAAGACATTGAGAGACGTTGTTTCACTTTCATATTATAGAAAATTATTTAGTGGATTTAAACAAATTATTATTACTACATATATAGCCACAGTGGCTATAGCCACAGTGGCTATAGCCACTGTGGCTAAGCTTAGAAAAACTATATAGTATATGTATTTTCAAAATTTCAAAATTTTTTATAGGAGACAAGGGGTCAGCAGATAATTGTTTAAATAAAAAAGTTTTTACGCTTAGAGATATTGTTTCACTTTAATATTTTAGAATATTGTTTATTGTATTGTAGCGAGTACCACTCTGGATCTCGCAATGTCCTAGGTCATCGTCCTAGGTCTTCGTCGATGAGTCATCGCCGGTGAGTCAACGGCCGAGCGATCGAGAGCGGTGTGGAACTCGCTGGAATGTTCGGGAAGATGCTTGCGTGATGTGGGTCGCGTATACGCACTGGATATATAAGGCATAGCGGAGCATCGAGAAGTTAGTCAAGCTTTGATACTCGTGACAAAATAAAATAAATATACGTGCAAATAAACTCTTGTACAGTAGCTACTTTTATAGTTTATTAGTGTTTTAATTGTAATTAAGTGTTGAACCACAAAAATATTTTTAAATAGCCACTGTGACTATAAGCTTTAATAACTATTTTATTTATTTGAAAAATTATCTGCTGATCCATTGTCCCTTTTAGAAATTGTTAAAATTTTGGAAATTATAGTGTTTAAAATAAATATTATTCTAAAAAACGTTAAAAAAAAATTAAACAAGTCCCTTAATGTCTTTAAAAATGGAAAGCTATTTTTTTATATAAAAAATAAGCTGCTGACCCCTTGTCCCCTTCAGAAATTGTTAAAATTCTATAAACATATAGTTTTAATAAATTTTCAGTCACGTTCGAACTCTTGACTAGGTAATGTTTATGTTTACATCCTACAATAAACTACAACAGTGTATTAAAGGCTCTGCATCTGCAAACATTTGATAAGTTCTCTTAATTAACTGCATGACCTAATACGTAAATTTGCAACATTAACTACGTTCAGATACCTACAAAACCCTAAGAGCGGTTCTATCCGATTAACTCTAGTAAAATATTAAAACAAAAAATCAATATAAAACAAAGAGCTACAGAAATTATATTAAAATAAAAATTAATCTTAGATGAATAAAACAAGAGATGAGAATTAAACAATTCTCTTGATAAAGTGGATGATGAATGCCATTGTAGGCACCTATAAACCACATAAACTCAATAAGACCCACCATCAAATTTACAATGAAGAAAGAAAAAGAAAACAAATAAGCGTTTTTAGATGTAGAATAAGAAAGGAAAGGGGCTTGGAAACTGGTGTGTACAGAAAACCAACACATACAGGACAATACCTCCACTTCAACTCTAACCATACACAAGCAACCAAAATCGGCTTAATTAAAAACCTTATTAATCGTGCAAAAAACTTATGCAGCACAAAGGCACAATTTGACAGGGAGATGGAAAACATCACCAAGGACCTAACCAACAGCGGCTATCCCACGAAGCTGATCATAAAAATTCTAATCGAACAGAGAAAAACAACGGCAATAAAAGAAGAGCACACCACATTAACAGGACTTAGAATACCATTCGAATAGGGCATCTCCGAGAAAATTAGAAGAATTGCAAAACCTCTAGGAGTAAGAACGTTTTTTTCTCCAGGAAACACACTCAGAAGCCTATTAACCAGAACAAAACCTAGCAAAAAACGTAATTTATCACGTCCCTTGTGCATGATTGCGGACAAACCTATAGGATAAACAAAGAGACCACTAAAATTTAAAAAAAAGTAACATACCAACTTATAAAACTTATAGGGATTTTGTAAAGTTTAATCTAACGCAATTTAAATATGATTTAGAGTCACTGCCTTGGCGGAATATTTATGACACTAATAATATCGACGATAAAATTAAATTTATAAATGATAATATAACTACGATTTTAGATATTCACTTACCTTTTATAACCAAGCGTATTACTAAAAAATATGCGCCTTGGCTTACTGTAAATATAAGAGAAATGATGAATGAAAGGGATAGGACTCTTAGTCGTTATAAAAAATATAAAAACATGGTTGACTGGGATACTTACAAAAATTTAAGGAATACGGTCTCTCTGGCAGTAAAAAATGAGAAAAAAGCTAATTATAATTCCGAGCTGGGTGGTTGTAATTCCAATAACGTTTGGAGCAAATTAAAAAAATTAAATATCTTAAATAAAAAAACATCATGCATACCAGATAATCTTTCTAATGTTGAAATACTAAACAATTATTTTTTAGACTCTCTACCCAACTTGCAAAAAGATGAAGTCACAGTAAATTTTTATAATAATAATTAGGTATACGAATCCCAACGCGCCCAAACTAACATTTACTGAGGTTACAGAGCAGGAAGTCTCTAAACTATTAAACCAAATTAAAACCAAAGCTGTGGGATGTGATGGAATAAATATTCAAACAATTCAACTATGCACCCCCTTTATTCTGCCTTATATTACTCATATCATTAACTACTGTTTAAAAAATTCTGTATTCCCCTCCTGCTGGAAGAAAGCTTTGGTTATACCGTTACCCAAAACCATGTTCGTCCTATTTGCATATAACGTTCTCTAAAATTTTGGAGTTATTCAAATACAGCTGCTGAAATATTTACAAATAAACAATATTATCCCTGCAACGCAGTCTGGGTTTCAGCCTGGCCTTGGGTGTTGTACGGCCTTATTA